CTGCATCAATTTCATTTTTGGTTACACTAAAATATAATTAAAAGAGAAAATCCTGATATAAATTTAAATGAATATTAAAGTACTGCATTATATTTTATAAGCAGCACAATTTGCAATTCAGGGGGACCATCAAAGATACCTGAATAAATTCTTCATAAGCCCATACTGAATGGACTGGTCATATTGATATTGAAGTTTTAATTATGTCATTATATTTTTATTGATTCATAAGCTTTGTAGATCACCTAGAAGACTTAGCTGATGAGAACATAAAAAAGCCACACAAAATCATAAACAAATATAACATACCTCCTAAGACAGTGATGGCGAATCTTTTAGAGACCGAGTGCCCAAAAACTGGCCCTGTCCCCACTCCACCCTCCTGCCCCGCCCCACTCTGCCCCCATCCCCTGCCCCCCCCACCCACAGAATCACTCACCGCCTCCACGGCCCGCTGCAGATTGCCCAGGCAGCCCAGCAGCTCTATGGCAGCCACACCCTCTGCCCGCGCCCTGCAGCATCAACTGCATGATGGGGTGTGAGGGCAGAGTCTTGTCTATGCTGCCTGGCTGCCATGTCCTTGGCTGCGCTGCTCCGTGTGGACCACGCTCGAGGGTGACTCTCCTTCAGGGGGGCTGCTGGAGAGGAGGGGGTCGTGGGGGGAGGCAAGGCTGGGGCAATGGCACGTGTGCCCACAGAGAGGGCTCCAAATGCCGCCTTTGGTACCCATGCCATAGGTTTGCCACCACTGTCCTAAGATAACACATCTTTCTCTGCAGTGGATGCAATTTGATAATTTAAAATCATCATCATCCAATCCTATATCTTGAAATGTCTGATACAGACCGAAAGGGCAAGGGAGATTCTGCGAATTCTGAAACTCACTTTGCTCTATCACTCATATCGAAATTGGAGAATTTTTACATTTTCCTTGCAAAGTTGGCAGGGATCTTGGTGTGAAGTTAACTATTGCTGTCACATTCCTTACTTGCACTTTTTACACTTATTTGGTCTCTTTGCTCTAAATAAAGCTTCTCTATATTGGCTAAGTGAAAATTCCAAGAAGATTCAGAGTGTAAAATTTAAACCTGTGTTTCCCTGTAAGGCTATTCTCCTGTCACAGCACTGCATCATTTTTCAGAAACAGGAAAACTGAAAATACTCCAAGTAGTAAATGTAATATTTAATCCATCGCAAGCTGTATTCTGTGAAACTCATTCTTGATCAAATAATTGCAAAACTTGGGTATGAACAATCAACTTTTCTTTTAATCGTTTAAAATGTACAATGAAATTTGTTTCTCGCTGAGGCCCACATACACACAATCTGATGGGGGGGGGAAATTATACACAATTTGTGAATCTCAACGAATTTTGTATTATGCTAAAAAAAATTCCAAATAACATATTTAAGTGACCATGACTCTTCAAAAGTTCAGCAAGGTGGAAGGTACACCTGGAATCCTTTTGCCTTATCCTACACTTTTGTTCAAAACTGTTCTCCGTTGTTACTCCTGAAAATTATGTACCACAAATAATAATTTTAAACTGATAAATTGAACTTTTAGGGTTCAATTTACTGTCCCACAGTAAAATGGTGTGAGGGGAAAAAGGTTAAACAAGTTAGAAAAACACCTTTAATGTGTAGCTTGATCCTTAGCTTATCAGAAGTGTGAGTTCTTGAGCTTCTTCATTTTCTTCAGCTTCTTCGGTTCTCTGCTGTTGAAACACAAAATGGCTTTAGGAGAAACCAGGTGACCATCTTTTCTTTTTCTCCCTTAAATTCAGAGAACAGGGGGCTTGTTTGGCCAGGTTGAAAATTTCATCGAGCCCAGCAGCCCCCTTTCACCGCATATGGCAAACCAAAGGCCTCTGCAGTTCACCGAGATGGGTAGTGAAGAATTAGATTCCCCAGTATTCATTGAGGACTTTCCACCCACAAGAGGCACCAATGTGAACAACAGCAACAATAATGCTAACAACAATGCAACAATACAGTAAGAACTAAAGTTGGAATTAAAAAATGGGAACAGTTAGAATATAGGATCCAAAATTGTATAGTAACATTCATTTCAGAAGAATACTCTAGGTGGGACCTGGAATGTTTTAAAGGAGTCCTTTTTCCAAACCATACAGGATGAAACAGTACAGCAGTCTAACAAATTGTGTAAAAGAAAAATAATGTTTTATGAAAAGGACTCTGCATTTGCTACAAAAGATATAAATCAGGTTGCCTTAACCAATATTTCCAGGAATCCTGACATTATAGGTTAATTAGCTTAATGATCTCTCTGTCTGTCATTGGAGTCTGCATATGTTCCAGTGGCTGGTTACAAGGACTTAAGTTCTTCACCAAAGGTTTATGGCCAGACTCAATTAGGACAGGTCTTATTAGGGACCAGTAATTAATTAAAGAACATAAAGTAGGAAAAATAGTTCTGGAAACAAAAGGATATAAACAGTTGAACAGAAGGATCTTTTCTGAGACTATTGCTTCATTTATTATTTGAAATTGGGATTAGCGATGAAGTGGCCAAAACTGCTGCTGATGTCAAATTTTTACTGTACTATTAAAACCAAAAGAAACAACAAAAGTATTCCAAAAATACTTTTTCAGACTGTAGAAATTATTGTAGAATTATAATAACTATTTTGGTTCAGTATACATAGATGCAAACTGATGTCTGGGACGAACAATCCAACTTTTGTATATTCTGTAGTGTAATGCACTCAGAATGATTGAGCAGGAACAAAACATTTGAACTCTAGTAGAATGCCCAGTCAAGAACAAAAGCAAAAACAAATTAAAACATTCAGGTGGCATTTTCAAATTCTGGACTACATTACATCAAGAACTGGGGTTCTTCATGATCTCCCACAAGTCATATTGATTGTGCAGTTCTTACTATGGTTTCACCTGAATTCAACCATTCATAGTCAGTCTTTGGTGATCTGATTTTAAGGCACCATCAGATTTTGTAAACTGGAAAATCACAAATGGGCAACTTACAGTATTGCATCAGTTATGTTAAATATACACAGATATATAGGAAAATAAAATGGAAAAGACCATGGTATTTCATCAGCATCTGATCAATATCCCAGAATAGTTAGTTTCCAAGTATCTCAGGATAATTTATTACATTTCACTAAAAAGCATAAGCAAATGAACACTAATTAGTTGATTTGAACAGGGTACTGTGATTTAATCATCAGTGTTTTGCTTCCCAGGATGACATATGAGAATGAATTGAACGACCAGAAGATGGTACCACCATTTCCTCATTCGTTTCACCTCAGTGAGTTCTGCCAAACTTCCTTCTGTCAAATACACTCTTTCTTGTCCAAATAATGCAAGGCTGCCCCCAACTAGGAGATACTACAGGATTAGTTTCAAATTCTCTGTCTTTGGGGCTGGGAGATAATTGTTGCTCTAACAAAGGATCTATGTAATTCTGTGTATTTACATATTTCTAGATCAAGATGTATTAGCCCAGTAAAAACATTATGTTATTTACTTGTAGCTCAGCTGTATACATCTGTTATCATTATATCATTTTTTTGTTTCCCAGCCAAGCAATATTCTATTCAAACTGAAAAGCAGCAAGACAAAATGAGCAAATTATCAGCAACCAATGTCAGGTGCTCTTCAGAACGACAATTTTCCACTCAGCAGGTAAATGTAAACTCAGATCGTTTAAGTTTATTCACACTTGATTAACTTATCCACATTTGACTAGAAAAGAGACTTACAATTCTATCAGCAATTGAC